CCAAGAGTTAGAGAAACTCCCTGTAGGCAGATGGGGAGGGGGCCTTAGCTAGACGTGGTGCGTTTCCAAGATAGGCAGCTTCTTCCTCAACCCCCTGGCTGAGACAAAAGCCTGGCAGCTTTGTTCCCCCACTGGCAACCCCTGCTGAGGGATCAAGGCCAGAACAGGACAAATCTGAAACACCAACCAACCAGCCTGTCTTCACACTGAGCAGCCTTAAGGTAGGGGAGGAGGACTCTTCAGAAGCTTTGAAAGCCCCAGCCCTCAAGGGGCTGGAGTTTTGGCTTAATCCCCCTCTCCTTCGCAGAGGGTCTTTTCTCATATGTCTGCTGTGTGCATGTTTTTTCACCCACAATAAATGCCTCCCTATAACTGCTGATTTTGTTTTCGGTGCTTGAGATTTCTCTGCTGCTACCCGTTGTGTTTCAGATGTTTTCCTGCTTTTAATTTCTTACCTGACAGAGAAAACAACCCCCTCAAGATTTCCTATACTCTATCATTTCAAGGTCCCAGACTGTATTGAATGGATGGAGAAATGAAAGCTGTGCAGAATCAAGCCAGACAGAATCAAGATGGCACAACCAAGCCTTGGAAGTCTCAGAGAAGTGGAAGGGTGTGTGAATTCTGTGTTACAAACCAAACGGAGACACCACAACATTTCAGAGAGCTTGTTTGCACAGAGAGTGATGCATGAACTGGGCAGCTCCAGTCTAAAAGAGTTGGGGAGCTACATGGAGGGATTACCCCATGGGGACACTTTTAGGACGCACAGAGAAGCAGAGAAGGAAAAAAAAATCCTTCGTTATGTCACACTTGTCTTATTTGATCTAACCTGTGAGAACGTTGTTCTCTGTAAGTTTGTTGCTGCTTTGGAATGGCTGAGTTTAATCATATTTTTCTTCAGCACAGAGCTGACTGTGAGTAATCTTCACCATCAACTAGATTGAACTTGGAATGACTGAGAAGACTCACCTGGGGACATATCTGTGGGTGATTTTCTAGACGGGGTAAACTGGGGTGGGAAGGGCTACCTGGACGTGGGCAGCCCCTGCATATGAGTCTGCAGTCTCACTGATACAAAGAAGTGATCTGAGCACCATGCTTCATCCCTGTCTCCTCCTGACTGAACATAAAGTGGTCAGCTGCCTCATGCTCGTGTTCCTATGACATCCCATCATGGCAAACTGAACCCTCAAAATGAGTTTAGGTAATCCCTCCCCTCCCCTCCCTTCCCCTTCCCAAGTTGCTTTTATCAAGAATATTGTCACAGCAGACATCAAAGTAACTAACGTAACTGGTCTCAGCTTGACCCTGCTTGAGTATCTGTAATGGCAAGTATATGTATACACCTTGTGTTCTATTTCTTTTCCATTGCTGTGCTAAAACGCTGAGGCCAAGACGACCTGTAGAAGTGTTAGATCACCAAACAGGCCCCTAAGATGGCAGTGCAGCTGCCAATACCCTGGAATGGCTACCAGAGCTTAGCTGGGTCAGGTGCCATGAGGAAACAGAAACGCATTTCTCAGAGACCCTGTGACTCTGGGACCTCGTGTTACTAGCTAACTGCCGTTTCCTCATTCCTCCCTAAACCGCCATCTGCCTCAGGCAAAAGGACATCTGCTGCCCATAAACTGGCCTGCTCACCACAGGCACAGACCCCTTCTGGCCTGTTTTTATCCAAGACAGAAAAAAGTCTCTCTAGAAGAAGGGATCTATTTACATTAAACCTTGAGGAGCCCTATAAAGCCTACTTGCTCTCCCTGGCTGGGCTACTGCTCTGCTCTCCTGAGACTGCCCAGTAGCTGGTCCCACAATAAACTTCTTTCCACCACTGGAGTTGTCCTATTTGGTGGTCTCATTGTGCTCATTTGACTTTTTTTGCTGACCTGTGCAGATCTTGTCTGCTGGACCTGGGATCTGAGAACCTCAAACAATGGGGTGGGCTAGAGTCTAATGCTCTGGACAGCCTTTACTTTCTATACACACATAACAAAGAGAGCAATGATCAAAGGAAGGCTGTTAGAGTTCAGAAAAACATGTAAATAAATGCTGGTAAACACATACAAAATATTAAGAGAACAGCCCTTCCTCAGAACCTTCTTAGAACAGACCAATTTAAACACAACTACCTGGTACATACTATATATAGATTATATCTGGGAAAGGACAAAAGCAAGGCAGAAGGCCATATCCAGATTCAGGGTACACAGACAGACTGGGCTCTATGGCTATGTTCTGACATCAAACAAGAATAAATACATCTTATAAATTGAATGTAAATGTTTGTTGCAGGACGAATGAAATCACATCCCAGAACAATCGAGGAAACAAAATGCACCTGAGGTAGAAAGCCCTCTGCCTTTTCCCACAATTTCCCAAGGCACTGATCATCACGAACCATTCTTTTGACTGTGTTCTGGCGCTCACTTACATAAAGGAAGGGTTTATTTGGGCCTATAGTTCCAGAGGGATAAGAGTCCATCATGGTCGGGGATTGTGGCAGCAGGAGGCAGACATGGCAACAGCAGCTGAGAGTTCCCAGCTTCAATTACAAGCAGGAAGCAGGAAAGGCACAGCACACTAGAACTGGTGCCAGTCTTTACGCTTTCAATGTCGGCCTCGAGTGACGCCTTTCCTTTAGTAAGACCATGTCTTCTAAACTTTCCTAAACAGTGCCATCAACTGGGCACAGCTTTGCAAGTGCCAGGGAGTATAGGGGGCAGTCATCCAAACCATCACACACTAGTTTTCTAGTCAGGTATTAGGTTTCCCTTTATCTGGCTTTTGAAAAAATAGAGGGAAGGTAGAGTTTATGCACAAGACAAGCAGCTCACTGGGCAGCTACTCTTGGTTGTCTACTTGACTGACCTGAACTAAAACCCAATTGGCTGGGTACACCAGATCTTGCCTGCTTGCCTTCACTCTCTCTCTCTGACAAGTCCATTCCTTCACTGGCATTAGAGTCTACTTCTTTGGGATTTTAGCATATATCGAAGATGAGCTGAGATATACAGCATGGCAGATTGAAAAAGTACTGGATTCTTGGACTTTACCATTGGTAGACAGCCACTGTTGGACTAGCGGGACCACAGCCTGTAATCCACTGTAATAAATCCTCCTTGTATATAGATTCACTCTATTAGTTCTATTCCTTTAAAGGACCCTGACTAATGGATTCAGCCACGTTGCTAAAAAGTTGCTACTTTCCATCAGGATCAGCCTAGTGTGACAAAGCAGAGAAGGGTTCCACCTCACAGGTAAGGTGAAGAATCATTGCTATTTAATGGGACCTACTGTGTACTTGGTATGATGTTAGCACAAGAGCATCACAATTCCCAGCATTTCCCTTGTGTATGTGTGTGCATGTTTGTGTGTGTGAAATGTGCACGTGCATGTAAAAGCCAGAGGTCAATCTTGTTTTCACCGAGTCTTGGAATTCCATCCACCTTGGTTCATTTCCTAAAATATTTTTATTTTTGTGTATGTGCATACACACAGGTGTAGCTTTTCAGGTCCTGTGCAAGCGAAATATACTTAACCACTGAGTAATGTCTTCAGCCTTCCATCTTGGTTTGTTTGTTTGTTCTAAAATTACAAGTATGGGCAGTGGTGACACATGCCTTTAATTCCAGCATTCAGGAAGCAGAGGCAGGCAGATCTCTATGAGTTTGGGGATAGCCTCATCTACAGAGCAAGCTCCAGAGGAGCTTGATTGAAACCCTCTGTCTCAAAAAAAAAAAAAAAACAAAAAAAAACAAAAAAAAAACCCCAAGCAAACAAACAAACAAACAAACAAACAAAAAACCCCTCAGTTTTTAAGCCAGCTGTGGTGGCTCATGCCTTTTTTCCCAGCACTCTCAAGAGGCCAAAGCAGGTGGATCTCTGTGAGTTCAAGGCCTGCCTGGTTTACAAAGTAAGTTCCAGGATTATTGCACAAAGAAACTCTGTCTCAAAAAAGCAAGAGTCTGTTTTCTCCTTCCACCATGTGGGTCCTTGGGAAGGCTTAGTGGAAAAAGCCTTTACCTACTGAGCCATGTTGCCAGGCAGATCACCTTGAATTTTTTTTTCTGTTGTTGTTGTTGTTGTTTGCTTTGGTTTGGTTGTTTTGTTTTTGTTGGTTTTTAGAAGCTTTTTATTGGTTCTTTGGGAATTTCACATGATGCACCTCAAGCCTACCTATCTTCCTCTCCCCTTGTATTGGCCCTCGACCCTTGCAACCTCCCCCAACACAGGAAACAAAAAATCTGTGTAACTACGTGCCCCTTCTCTGCTCTCATGCCCCCAAGGCCAGCTCTCCCACAATGCTCAGGTAAGGGGCAGGGCCAGTTCTCCACAGCCCTTGGACATCGCCATGTCCCAGGCAGCATCCCAGTCGAGGGATGTCTGCCTGGTGGTAACAGACCCCTTCTGCTGCAGGATCATGGAGTCATTCATGGCCCCTGCTGGCATCACAGGCCGTGACCCCACCATGGTCCAAGGTGGCATCTTCAGATACTCACATCAGGCTATTTCTCATTACCCCTGAGTCTTCAGTTCTGCCTTTCTTCATTGTGCCCACATCTTTCTGTTTCTCTTTCTCTTCCATTTCTCCTCCACTTACTTCCTCCTACTAGTGGGTCTGGGGTCTCTGAGTGTCTGGGGTCATCTTGGAGTGCTATGCCCTATTCGTGCTTTAGGTACCTGGCAGGGGTCATCTCAGGCATGACCCCAGGTTGGTGGTCATCTCAGGCTAGCTTCCTATCCAGGCCCTATGTTGCTGGACTGGTGGTCATCTTGGGCTTGCTTTTCACTCCAGCCACCCACATGTGGGGTCATCTGTCCTGGGAGCCCACCTACCCAGGGTCCAAGGTCCAAGGAGAGGGATTTTCTAGTTTTTGGTTTGTTCCCACCAGGCCACATGGCCCCAGCTTGCTCACCACCGTGGGAGCCTGTCTCAGGAATCCCTCTCTGGGACCCCTGGTGCCAGACTGGTGGTCATCTTAGGCTTGTCTTTTTCAGGGAGTGTTAGGCTACTAATCATTCAGATGTTCACAGGTTCATAAGTCAGAGTGTCGAATAGCCTCTCTCCTCTCTGTCACCTACTGATGCATTTGTGACACAGCAGCCACACTTGCAATTACCCTAAGGACAGGTACTTTCTTCTTTCTTTTCTTCCTGAGATAGTTTCACTGGCCTGGAACTTGCCAATTTGGATAGGCTGGATGGCCAGTGGGCCCCTGGGATCTACTTGCCTGTCACTGAAAAAGTGGGATGACGACGTTGACTCTAGAGGTCAGTTTTATCTCTAAATGTTCTCAGTATTTCAATGCCAGAGCTGTCTCCCAGTGTCAGCATTTCTATCTTCTGAAGAAGAAATAGTCTTTCTCAAGAATGAACTCCCTGATTGGATAAACAATTCCAAATGGTCAGTCCTGTATTCATGTACATACAAGCCCCAAAATTTTAGCGAATATATATATATATATATATATATATATATATATATATACACACACACACACACACATATCTATGCACACACACATATACATATATATATATATATATGTATATTCTCTGTATAATGTTCAGAATATTTTTAGAAATTCTAGAGGTGTAATTCGGGGGGGGGGATGTAGCTGACCTAAGGCCACCTAAGGCTCCCAACCCAAGTAATCTCATTAGTATAGGCTTGGGTGTGACCAAAGAGGACTGTTTAACAAAAGGCCATCTAATAATTTAGGTAAGCCCAAAAGTGTTAAGTGGCAGGCACAAGGGAAAAAAACCAAATATGTGCCATATCATACACACAGGCTTTCAGTTTAATAATCACTAAGAATCAATTGTGTTAAGATTTGTTAAAACAAGTCTTGATGACATAATAGCAAGAGCTGGTAGGGTCAGTGGTAGGTCCTTGTCTAGCATACTTGAAGCTGCAGCAGCAAAAGTAACTCCTATAAAATATGATTTTGTTACATAGTCCTGGAAAATGTTGCATCATATATTATGCACAGACATTTGACTTTTTATACCTTTTGAGCAATACATGCAAAAAGATCTTTAAATTATCATTTACCAAATTGTATTTCATATCAATCTCAATCTACAATGTAGAATAATCTTAACATCTGAGAAAAGTGTTAATATGTGTCTAATTCAGGTTATATATCTATGCTTTAATAAGCCTTATCCTGACATTTACTAGAAAAGGAATCAAACCATTATGGCAGGAAATTGGTTTCTATTAAAAATGAAAAGCATTGTTGAGAAGAAAATCTTATTTTCTATGAATTTTTACAATTTCCTCCTGGGGTTCTGACTAAAGAAACATATTAACAAGAGGGCAGAAAAACAAACAGGTTCAACTATACAAAAGAGTTAACAAACTAATGTGTGGTGGAACAAGATCTTCTGAGATCAAACACTCCATCTTGGAGGGAGGTCCATTTAGAAACAGGATATTCTAAGAGGTGGTGCAATATTTCAACCTTTAGGCAGGCTCCTTAAGTTCAGTAAATAAACCACTCAAAAGTCTCAGGAAGTCCCTGAAATTGATCAGATGTACCAGGCTCCCTGAGTATATATAAGAAATAAGGACAGCTGAGAGACACCTTCAGACAAGCTGAGCTGCCTAGAAGAGATTCATACCAGCTGACACATAGAGACTACAGGTGCAAGCTTTTTTGGACTGTCACCCATGTTGGGATGGGCTTTGGTGTTACAACTGTCTTTGAGTCATTTTTGCACCTGTAAGTAACCCCAATAGACTCACTGGCTCACCAAGCTGAACTTGGGTGGTATCTGTACATTGGTCCATCCTGGTTCCCCAATTGAGGTAAAGAGATGTTTGTTCATGTCTCCCCAGGAATAGTGTCACACAACAAATAGGACTCCACAAGGTTAGCATTTGAGGCTTATCCACCATTTTAACAAAGAGGAAAAGAGGTGATTTCTGAAAGAACAAATGACTTTCAGGTTAACGTGGGGAGAGTTGATGGTAGCTATGTATGAAAATGTCTGTCCAGCAGTCTTACTTGGGTGAGGCTGTCTCAACATTGAGAGTCCTTTGGCCATCAGAGTTGGTTTTCCCAGGCTGTGAGACGTCGAGAGAAGAGATCAAAGCGGTTGAGTTTGGGAGCAACGTAGGGCAGGGGTGGTGGGTTGGTGGGTGGGTAGGTTCTACATTTCAGAAGGTACAGACAAGTGAGAAAAGACCTCTTCCTTCAGTTGTTGATTTTTAAAATAGAAAACCTCATCATTGTTGTTGGTGGTGGTGGTGGTGGCACATATATAGAGGTTAGAAGACAACTCGGTTCTCTCTACAGCGGGTTCTGAGAATCAGATCCAGGCCATCAGGCTGTGCAAATGCAGCAAGTATTTTACTTGCTGGGACTACAAGCACGGGCTACCTACCATGCCTTGTTTATTCAGTGCCAGCGATTGAATCCAGGGCTTCATGCACTTTACTCCAGCACTCTTACCACCTAAGCTACAACCCAGCCCTGACACTTGTTCTTTTTTTGATGCAGATGTGGCTCATCAAAGCAATACTTCTTCCCAACCTCCTGTCAAATGTTTCAGACTCAAATTACGCTGTGCCATTATGGCACAGTCTGGATCCTTTCAGTACATCTGTTATACATGGAATGAAAACTGCTTTTGTTAACTTAAAAAAAAAAACTTTTATATACTTATTTGTAAATTTACCCAAAGAGAGGTAGATTTTATCTTTCTAACCTTTGATTGAAAGTAAGATTTTAAATTTGCCTAGAAAAATTTGTTACTGTGAATTTTTAAATGTGAATTTTTTCACATCTTTACTAACGTTCATTTTCTTTGTCCACTACAACGTTACAAAAAAAAAAAAATGCCCCTTCTTAGTGATGCTTCATCGGGATCTCTGAGTCTTGAGGATGTGCCTCTGCTTTTACTGTGAAAAGATTTTGAATCATTGCTGAGCCCGGGAGGACTGCGGCTGATGGGAGTTTCTAATTGACAATATACCCACAGGACACTTCTCTTCTTAAGGGTAGCATTTCAATAAGTGTTGCCAGGAAATAGTGGTGGGTGAGCTTACAAGGGAAACTAATGCTTTTAAAACTTGGAGTGCTCAGCAACTGAAAATGATGCTTCGGGCAGGAATGATGCCACACTCCTGCAAAGCCATCATCACCCTGGAGTCTGAGGCAGGAAGCTTCTCAAGGTCAGTTTAGACAAGCAGCAAGTCTGAAGCCAGCTTGAGCTAAGTAGATCTTGTCTCATAAACAAAAACAAACAGGACAGTAACAAGTGCACACAATTAAAACAATAAGCAAAAAAAATTTTAAAGCAAGAGGAAATATTTGTTCATATGTTTCTCTCTCTCTCTCTCTCTCTCTCTTTTTACTTGCTCTTTAATCGGTGTAATGCTAGCTAGGTGTGGAGGAACACATTCATGACCCTGTGATGATCACAACAAATTCAAAGCTAGCCTGAGCTATAGAAACTAGTGGGCATAGCAAAACTTTGTCTAGATAGATGGATAGATAGATAGATAGATAGATAGATAGATAGATAGAATTATTGATAGATCGATGTTCGATATGTAAGCTGGAGAAATGGCTTTCAGTGAACAAAGTTGCTTGCTGAGGAAGTCTGATGATAGGGATCCAGCCTCCATAATCTATATGGTAGAAGAAGAAAACTGACTTCTGCAAGTTATTCTCTGTCTTCACGTCTGTGCTGTGGCACATGTGCCCTCACATACGTGCACATAAATAAATGTTTTTTCTTTTTAGAAAGATCTAGTTTTCATCTTCTGTGTATGCATGTCTGTGCACCACATGCATTCCCGGTGCCCTTAGAGGACAGAAGAAGGCATTGTGTTCCCTGGAGCTGAAGTGGCAGATGGCTGTGAGCCACCATGTAGGTTTTGGGGAGCTGAATTCAGATTCTCTGCAAGAGTGAAAAGTGCTTCTAAATTCCAGACTCATCTCTCTGGCCCTGGATAGATATTTTAAAAAATGAAAATAGAGATAATAAAATAGAAAAGGAAAATGTGCAATAAAAATTTGGGATAACCTCATGACCTATTAAGGTCACGGAAAATGAAAGGTATAAAGGGAACTACCGTGGATAGAAGCTATTTTTCCCCTTAGGATGTGTGATTTCTCCAAAATATATCTGAATGTCATTAAGAACTAAACCAGGACGTCGAATTCAATGATCTGGAGACAAAAAGAGGCTGCAGTGATTATTTTTAACCAATATTTTTGTTTAGACTAAATTGAACAAACAGTCTTCTGAGGCAGTCTTGATATCGAACCTTTTCCACTGGAGGAGCATGCACTAATCAATAACTCTTATTTAAGTTATTAAGACTGTTGAGAAATGTAAATAATCAGAAGAAAGAGCTTTGGAATTTAAAAGGGGTTGACACAATAGACTCTATGTAGCTGTTCCTTTGGCCAAATGTACCACATGGATCCCACCTAGGGAAGGAAATTTGATGGCTACATTACAGTGTCTGACAAAAGGCTATAAAGTACTTGCTGGTCAAGTCAGTTCTTTTATTACTCCTGGCCGAACTTCCATTCTTTCTCTCTTTTTAATTAAAAATTTTCTTTTTAACTTTGTATTTATATGTGTATATATATATATATATATATGTATGTGCAAGCCTTCTTATTTTTAATGTAAAGAATCCTTTTTAAGTTTTAAGTTTGTATTTATGCGTTTTTAGGTTTATATTTGTGACTCACACACACACAGAGTGTAGGTGCCTCTGTAGGTGTAGAAGTCAGTAAAGGGTATCAGCTCCCTCAGAGCTAAAGTTACAGCTGTGAATTGCCCAACAAAGTGGGTGGTGGGAACGGAACTTCGGTCCTCTGAAAAAGCAGCAAGGGCTCTAAACACTTCAGCCTTAGAAAGGATTTGTCTCCCCAGTCATTGTTAGGATCATGCACAAGATGCCTACAGCAAGTTAAACTAACCCGAAAAAGAAGATGCAGGTTGAAGTGATAAGGAGCCCCTCAGAGCAGGAGGCTCAAAGAAATGGGGGAAACAGTGCCGATGTAGACAGTATGTGCCTGTGTGCTTGAAGGACTAAAGGGTGACCTCATGATAATAAACTTGGGGTAAACCAGAGAGATCTGTGCTTCAACTCCCTGGAGGC